CTTTCTGTCCAAAGTTTAGTCTTCGACAAGTGAAATGCGTGCTCAGTTGGGTTAAGATCAGGTGACTCACTTGGCCGTTTAATAATATTCAACTTCTTTGCTTTAATAAACTCCTGGGTTTCTATGGCTGCATGTTTTGGGTCGTTGTCCATCTGTATTATGAAACGCCGCCCAATCAGTTTGACTGCATTTGAGCAGACAGTATGTCTCTGAACACCTCAGAGTTCACTCGGCTGCTTCTGTCCTGTGTCACATCATCAGTAAACACTAGCGTCCCAGCGCCACCTGCAGCCATGCATGCTCAAGCCATCGCACTGCCTCCACCGTGTTTTACAGATGATGTGGCATGCTTTGGATCATGAGCTGTTCCACGACTTCTCCATACTTTTTTCTTGTCATCGTTCTGGTGGAGGTTGATCTTGGTTTCATCTGTCCAAAATGTTTTTCCAGAACTGTGCTGGCTTTTTAAAAAATATTTTTCAGGGTTTTTTTGTTTGTTTGTTTGTTTTTAGCAAAGTCCAATCTAGCCTTTCTATTCTTGAGGCTTATGCATTGCTTGCATCTTGCAGTCAACTCTTTGTATTTACTTTCATGCAGTCTTCTCTTTATGGTAGACTTGGATATGGATACATCTACCTCCTGGAGAGTGTCGTTCACTTTGGCTGTTGTGAAGGGGTTTCTCATCACTATGGAAATGATTCTGCGATCATCCACCACTGTTGTCTTCAGTGGAGTCCACCAGTGCTTTCTTTCTTTCTCGGGATGTAACAAACTGTAAATTTTGCCACCCCTAATATTGTAGTATTTTCTCAGATGTTTTTTTTTTCTGTTTTCACAGTTTAAGGATGGCTCATTTCATCTGCATGAAGAGCTCCTTTGACTGCATGTTGCCTATTTACAGCAAAATCTTCCACATGCAAGCACCACACCTTAAATCAGCTCCAGGCCTTTTATCTGCTTAATTGTAACAAATGAATTACCTACACCTGCCCATGAAATAGCCTTTGAGTCAATTTTCCAATTACTTTTGAACCCTTTAAAAAGAGGGTGGCACATGCTAAGGAGCTGAAACTCCTAAACCCTTCTTTTAATTTGAATGTGGATACCCTCAAATGAAAGCTGAGAGTCTACACATTATGTCCAAGCTTATTATATAACTATAACAGGAATATGTTTCAGTAAACAGGTAAAAAACAAACTGTATATATTCAACTTGGTTGGAATCTTTTAGTTGGAGAGGTTGAAGTATATGACTCGATTTCATTTTCATACATCAAATCATTTATTGACCCCTCGTGCTGTATGGATGTCCTGAAAGAGACCATTCCTATTAGGATGCTTCATTATAGAAAAAGTCTAAACAAAATAACTTTGTATTGATTTGCAAGGCACCCTTCCCGCTCCATTGCATAAAAGGGCTCCTCTCACTGCAGCGATCAAGGGTACAGATTTGCCCTTTGATATATTACCTGTCTATATCTGCCTTCCGTTGCTCCCACAGACATACCACTGCTGCGCTGATCTAACTCCCTGTGTCGGCTGACATGTGCTCGCCTACCTCTGATGCTGAGCGCTGGGTGAGAAGTCCAGCTGCTTGCATCACAGGTGATCTCCTGCGGAGAAGCAGAGCTAAGATGTGTAGTGCTGGCTGTCCAGTGGGCTCTCGTAGGATGGATTTTGCTGCCTGGTTTGTTGCTATGGACTGCTTAGTACTGATAAGGGCTGGTCAAAGCTTCCATTTCCTCAAAGCAGAGACATACCTGCTGTGTACTTATCAAACACATGCTGCACACACACACAGGTGCACGCACAGATTGTCATGCAGCTGCAATCACAGCAATAAACTGCTGAGATTACGGCATAAAATAGCAATTACAAAGTAAATAGATGTAGAACACAGTGAAAGCCCAACACAAAAAGCTCTGCAGCAAAGTTTCCAGCTTTCAGAAAGGTGCAGTTCGTACCAAACGCCGACTGTCGAAGCTGTAGTTTGTGACGTTGACCTGGACTGCACCGCTGCACATTGTAAGATGTTGCTGTCATTGTGTGCCCACCCTGTTCCTGTACGCTGTGGCGATGGAGACGTGTTTCTCAGCGGCTCTTTTCAAAGCCGTTGCAGCATGAGGGTACAAAGAAAAAAAAAAGGTGCTTATCAGCACAAGAAATGAATCAATTTGCCAGCATGAATCACTACTCACTTTTCCAAAGCAGCACCAGCGTTTGCAGCAGCAGCTGGCCCTTTGTCGCTTGCTTCTCCCTCACTGTGTGCCGCTTCACACACCCATTGCTCAGCTCTGGGGGAGAAATTTATTGAGTGGATACTGTATGTCAATAAATCCTGCAAGAGCTTAACCTGATCTGAAAAGGAGTATTTGATTGTTTCTCAGAAGTCATTAACAAGACTTTTTTTTACTCGGTAATAACGTCCAAAGTAAATTGTCTCTTCACGTGTCAGCGCAGCTAACGGTGCAGCAGCAGAAATGGAAACGACGAGAGAAAAATTACGGCATTTCTGATTGTGAAACGAAAATCTGACAGCAAATAAAACGGAGAAGGAGGAAAATGGCTTTTCTGATGTGCCCTCTGTTCAGGAGCACCTGCGGATTGGACTGCTTCTTGCGCATTAATGAGTTTTAAAGAAACTGCTGCGGGGTCCTGGTTTATTAATGTAGAGAAGAGAGCAACACAAAATGTTCCCAATTAAAATGAAGATGAATTGCAGCAGCGGGTGCCTGTTGTGACTCTCCTTTTCTATCTCTGCCATACAGACAGGTCATTAGGCACTAAAGGCTGCTCTGGTCCCACGGTGGTGAAGCCTGAGCGCATCACATCCCTCTCAGAGAGCTTTACTGTACCACGCTCTGTAGGGCGGACAGGAAGGAAATGTGGACTCTGAAGTAATCAGGGTTTGACGCTGCTGACTTACTTGATAAGCCTAATTCAATTTATGGAGTGTCCTACTGATATTCTGTGTTGTAGTTCTCAGGAAGTGCCATTTTTCTGTTTGGAGTCTCACACGAGTGAAAGAGTAAAGAGGAGTAAAGATTCTGTAAAGTGCTGTTGTAGCATTGTAGCAAGACCATTTACAAACACCCTTTTGTGTTAAGATAATGAGATTTTTGCACCAACTTAGTGTTACGTTTGGACTCTTAAGCGTTATATTTTTCCTCATTAAGTGAATTCTAGTCATAACCTTTAACTGCAGGTTTTTAAAAATCTCCTGCTTCCTTTGTCGCCTCCTTCCGGTAACAGAACTCTTTCTTTTGGCAGATAGTGTTTCCACAGTTACCCTGCATTTCAAATACCTAGGGAGACCTACCAATACTGGGAAAAAACAAAACCACTGTCCTCCCCATGTTTTGGTTATGCCACCCAGCCTTCATTTTACAATGTCCTATCTGATGACAGACTGAACTGCACTGGGAATGTGGTGACACACCAAGTGCCAATGGTTTCTCTACTCTACAGGCACCACAATCTGGAGTTAACATTACTTCACAGTGATGAGTCTAAGCAAAAAAGTAGCTTTTTCCCATTCAAACAAACAATCACACACACAAAAAGATCACATTTTTAAAGCTCAAATCAAGGGTAATGCCCTATAGTACCCTAAGTGTGTCCTTTCATATATCACCTGTCTGTTTCTGTACTGAACTTTCCAGAAAGGCTCAACCTGGTTTGATATTTTTAAATAATTTGGGATTAATAGTTCTCAAGGAGTTTTCTTTGGACATTAGTTTGTCTGCGTATCTGACCATTTTCAGAGGATTTTTTAAAAAGCCGATTAACACTGACCTATGAATCATTCAAGCATAAAAAGGCACATAACTCAAGGGGTGAACCAGTGTTGTGCCTACACATAAAAGACAACTCAGGAAAGAAATTATTATTTTAGCACCATGCAGGACAGACGAGCTCTACAGAGGGTTGTGCGGTCAGCTGAGCGCACCATCCGCTCCGAGCTCCCTGACCTGCACTCAGTCTACAGCAGGCGGTGCTGGACCAAGGCCAGGAAGATCGTGAAGGACCTCAGCCATCCCAACAACAGACTGTTCTCTCTGCTGAGGTCAGGAAAGCGATTCCGCTCCCTGAAGACCAACACAGAGAGACTGAGGAGGAGCTTCTTCCCGCAGGCGATACGGCCTCTCAATCACACCACCACACAGCACATATGGTTCTTAGACACACACTGGACATTCTGGACATTGTTTTCACTTCATCACTTAAATCACTTTAAGCATATTTGCACTGCATTTAGGCTGCTGTTATTGTCTATATATATATATTTATATTTCTTCATACATTCTTATATATTTCTATACTGTGTATTGTGTATTTTGTTGTACAGTTATTTTATTTTCAACTTTAATTTATATATTTTATCTTATTCCTTCCCAGTTAAATTTACCCTTCATTCTAATTTGTGTTGTACAGTTATTTCATTTTTAACTTTAAGTTTAATTTTATTTTATTTTATTCCTTCCTAGTTAAATTTACCCTTTTTAATTTTCATATTTATTTCCTATCTTTTCTTTTTTCTTTAGGTCACGAGCAGTTGTGTAAGCATTTCATTGCATATCGTACTGTGTATGACTGTGTATGTGACAAATAAAATTTGAATTTGGAACGACATCAGTCATGGACTGGCCTCCCCACAGCCCATAGCAGCTTATAAATACATATTTATTCAGATCTTTGTGGCATTTGTTAAAATAAAATCTATTTTGGAAAGTATCCATCACTGAAATTCTGATTAAAATGCCTCAACAGCAACATCTGGAGGTTAGAGGAGTCATAGCCATCTGTGTGATTATGAAGAAGAAAGGAGATCAGCAGGAGTCTCGCCTCATCAGGATCGAGATCTCTTTTGTTAGTTCAAGGTTCAAGGTTCTTTATTCATTATATGCATAGTTATACAAGTATAACACACTTGGGGGGGGAGAACATTATATATTATATTCATTAGCTGAATGTGCAGTAGTACATTTAACTCACTTCAGTTTGTTCATGTTAAAGCTTGTAGCAGATCTAAAGGACTGCTAAACTAAAAGAGTGGATTTCGAAGGAGAGATTCATCAGCGACGGAGCGCTGCCGGGGAAAGGATGGACAGTTTTGCTCTGCTGCCACAGCTGAAGGCCTCACTGCTGGATCCTGTATGGCCAATGGACTGCTTCATGGGCTGTAGCATGGAGGGTGCTTTTGTGCTTTTCTCCTGCTGAGTACAGGTCATTTGGCGTTACAAAGTCCAGAGAAGAAGATCTTTATTTCTGCCATGCTCTTAAAACTGTTATTACCACATATTTACTACTGTGCAAACTCTGGTTTTGCTGTATTTCCATGTGTATTTGCACATTTCAATAAATCACTGCAACTAATCCACATTTTCCTTGCAAAATATGTCACGGTTCTGGGTCAGTTTGACCCAGTATTTTGAGTTGTTATGTTAGGTGTGTGTTTTGCATTATGGATTGTTTTCTTACTCTCTTGTAGTGCTTGTGTTGCTGATGGTGATGATGATTATTATTAGAGTTTCATGTTTCTGTTTATTCGTGGTTAAGGATTTGTTGTCTCGTGTATAGTTTGAGTTCCATGTATTATTTTCTGTCTGCCTCTCAGTGTTGAGTCTGTGTCTTTGTGTAGTGATTCATGTTTCCTGTTTTATTGTGAAGGTCTGTGTCTCATGTGAGTGTGTTCAGTTTTACTGCTCCCCTGTCTCGTTAGCCCTGATCTCTCCTAGCTGTGTCTCCCTTCTGTCTTCCATTCCCTGATTACTTCCCTGTGTATATTAGCCCTGTGTTTGCCCTTGTTCAGTGTCGTGTCCTACCCTCAGATTCTGCCTGCGTGTTGCCAGTTCTCACATTTCATTGTTCTGCTCATGTTTGTTCATTGCCAGCAGTAAAACTGTGGTTTTCTGTTGAAATTTGGCTTCACGACTCCTGCGTTTGGATCCTCACCTCCGCTTGCCCACACACAGAGCCCTGACAAAATATAAAGAAATGAGTGATGGCTCAAACTTTTGCATGGTGTTGTACACTGAAACTTTGGCCATGTTTAATAAATATAATAAAAACTTAGAGAAACGGAATGGGTTTTAAATTCTTTAGATGTTATCTGAGGTGTGAGATGAAACAGAATGAAAAACAGTGCTGTTATTCTAAAAGAGCAAAGTCATTTGCAGGTAAGGGAAGAATTTATATAGCACCTATATCAGACATCACAAAGTGCTTTACAAAAGAAAGACGAGGTGCTTTAATAAAACTAACTTTATTCTCCATGAAAGCATCAAAGACATATATTTTTGCATCTTCTAAAATGGATCTGAATAGTATTTTTCAAAATCACAAATAATTTGGACAGCACAAACAAAAAGCACTTCACTCCAACAAGAAAACACAAATTAATAAAGTAAATCAACAAGAGGCAGGCCACTGAAACACAGCCTAATACAGAGACGCAAGAAGGCTAGATATTTAAATGAAAGCGCGCGTGGTAGCGAGGTGAATCGGGAACACGGGCCGATCTTTTATCCTTTCTAAGCCTACTAGTCTAAATGTGTACTGGAAGCAGACAAAGTGCTTTGAACCTTGAAAATCGTTTAAGAAAAGAAGCCTAAACCTAATGTTTTCCAGACTAAAACATCATAAACGCAATTTCTTTTTGACTCATGAAACTGAAGACATAAATGAAAATTAGTAGCGGTAACGTCAGAGCATTTTTGCTGCACGTTTATTTAAATCATTTTCAGAAGCCAGAAGAGGCAAAAACAGAGAAGTAACACTCAAGAATAAATGTCAGAAAAATCATTTTCACCACTATTTTATACCAAAGACTTTGATATGATAATCTGATATTTAAGTGATTATAGTTTTGTCAGTTGGCCACCAGTTGCTCCTGACAGCTCAAACGTTTCCATTTTATTTTCATGTAATAGACAACAGAGTTCTGCTCTGCTGCTGTGATATCTTTGTGAATCATAAGAGCGCTGTGTGTTTTTTACTTTCTTTGTCTGTCACTCTGCAGGGTGCCACTCTGATCACTTCATCTAATGGAGCACAAGTCAAAAGGGATGGAGGGAAGCAGAGAGAAAGCGAGAGAGATTGCAGAGCATGCTCTTATCTCCCCTGGGGCTTAATCTTACAGCATCGCACACACACTCACACAGAATTATCAATTATGTATACATAGAAATGTATCTAAAGTCTACCTTGCCTCCTCCTTTCACTCCCTTGAAGATATCTAACAGCAAAGTTTCAAAAATGTCTTCTCTTCCAGCTGGCCAGACACTCGGCGAGCAATACACTGTTTACCCCATTATCGTCCCTGACCGCTGACACCAAATCAAATGGAAAAGTACATACACATATATTTGTAGCCGGGGGAGACGCTAGCAAGATATGAGATCCACATCGGGTCAGCAGCTTGCCGCTTCTAAATGAAGAGGTTTTTGTCTCTGTGGCCCACTCCTGTCCCTGAGGGAATGCATTGTCTGGTCTGCCCCGGTTTGGAGCTGCAGTTCAGTCTCTAAAATGCTTTAAAAGCTCCTGGTTGTAGTAATCTGAAAGCGTAACACGGTTTTCTCTGAAATGCTGGGGAGATGTGCAAAGTAGGTAGTGTTTGAAAATGTGTGTTTATCATTAGCGGAGGTCATTTTGTTCTCAGACCATTTAATCTGCAAATTCATTATAATTGCAAGATTGCACAAAAACAAAAGCTTCTTCCCTCGAATCAAAGGACATCATGCTTGCTGCCAAAAACACCAGACAACTGACTGCTCACTGTTCCTTACTTCCCCGTTGCTACGCAAGTACGTGGTTTGCATTGCTGGTGTCAGATTTACCATCAACATTATTTTTCTTATACTGGGACTTTATTTTCATGGAAAGGCACACAAAAGCATATTTTCATTACAAGATGGAAACAGCCAGTTGACTAAACCTGACTGCTGCTGAGATGAAGGTGGTTATGGCGCGTAAATGTTATTTGAGCTCCTCTCCAGTAACAGACGTCGATATTCCAACCAGTCTCTGACAGTTATTTTTCATGTTATACTGCCATGAAGCACATCCATAAAACTGTGAATCAAAGATGGCTGCAGTAACTGTTACATCAGCCACGGCTTTGTGATTTTCACTTTTATCGTTAGCAAATGCTAACGTCCATCTAGGAGCGCCACAAGTGGGGGAAGGAAAAAACCCCGTATCTTTAATACTTAGCTATTATTTCTTAACATGAAAAGTGATTTAACTGTATACCCAAGCCTACGAAAAAATATTAATACTTTCCTAAGTCTCCCTACCACCACCAACACCTCCTCTTGCTGATCAGATTATACCTTCTGTCTGGTGGGGATGGGCTAGTTTTCAGACGTGATGCCAGAAAGCATTATCAATGTCAAAACTACCCAAACGTTACAGAGATACAGTGAAGATAATGTGATGAAAAAAGTTGTCTTTTACTTTAATTATGTCTTTTACTTCAGTGTTGTGTTATCCTGCTAATTTGTTTTTGAATGGTAGTAGCCGTTAGCCTAACATGGTTAGCTAATAAGTCAAGCTAGTTTTAAAATCAGTTAAAGTACAGTAGCATTGGGGGTGGGGGGTAAGTTTTAAAGGTTATATCACCCACCTTACATTACTTACTGAAATTTATAAAGATTGAATCTATTTAGCAGGTTTTACATTTGTCAATATTTTTTAACCTCTGGTTAGCTAATGTTTGCCCTGCTTGTAGTGAACATGCTATTCCTTTTCCACCTCTTCATGTATCATAATGTTAGCCAAGTTCTGTGTTTATAATGTTAATCTTTAAATCAGTGTTAAAGTGCACATAATGAATATTAATATTAAATTATCGCATTCTTACCGATACAGCAACAATACTGATGAGCTTGTAAACATACATGGCTGGAATGTTCTGGCTTTCCCCCTGGATTCAGATAGGCTGAATTTTATGAATATAGCAGGGTGCACACACATTCATGCAGCTGTTTTAATAATACACTAATGTACAGTCATTTTCCTTTTACACTCATACCACTGATTTGTCTACACCAGCTGTATTTAACCTCTATATTTTAGTACGGAGAGAAAGACAAAGACTATGAGGAAGGACAGGACTGTATACACATTAACAACTAACTGGAGTTGGAAACAGGATGGAAACCAGACACAGATGAAAGTAATCAAAGCAATCACAGCAGTAAGAAACAAAAGCCAACAAACCATCAAAGTAAAACAGGGAGTATAACAACAAACACTGGTGAAGCAAGCATAATAAACTCAAGATAGAAACAAACCTAGAAGAACAAAAAACTAGAATAACTAAGAATCCAGAACAGGAAAACATAAAACCCAATTATCAAAACCAGGAACTTAGTTTTGGGATGCAAGGGTGGAGCGACAAGTAGGGATGGGATTTCGATTCCATCATAGATATCACTTATTGATTCTCACTGAGTTCTCATTGGCTCCGCCTTGAGAGTCACCGCCATCTCTAAGCAACATGTTAATGAGATTACATTTGTGGAAATTAATTGCATGCTGTGTGGTCAAACATTTGTGCATATTGGAGGTATTGCTGACTGTGTAGATGCTTGTAAGGAGCTGAAGTTGAGTTAGTGGTATAATGCAGTTGTTTCTATCTTGAATGCAGTCTGCACTTTACCATCACACTCTTGTCCTTTTGTGTAATAAAAAAAAAATCTATATCCACGCTGTTGACTGTGCCACTATTTCCTCTATCGGCACACGAACTGAAATTGGCTTACTGACAATTGTAAGTGGAACTGTGATAAGCGGGATCAATAGGTAGGCAGACTAACGAACCAAGGATTTGAACTGGGAACTGGTTCTTGTAGAGAACTGGTTCTCGACTCCCATCCCTACTGTTAACACAGGATGGTTAACACAGTAATAAAATGTCAGAATTGTATCAAGTAGACATGGGAGTTTAAATGGGGAGTTGGGATTAACATGACTTAGTCTCTAGTGGTCACATAAGGAACTGAGTTTTTGGCCTTTTTCAACAGCTGAGTGTGGGCGACACCACTGGCTACTGATGGCAATGCTGGACTAGAGTGGCAGCGGAGTTCTTTTACTGCACGTTTGCATTTATGCAAATACATTCATGTTTTTTCCACGTCTGACGCACACGTGTGTGATTGAATGTCAAAACTGTTGAGGGTACGTGAAACCTCTCGTTGTGTGAGTTTCGTGCACTCTCCTGAAATGTGATAGAGGTAATTACTGCATTCACCGGTGCTTGTAGATAGCACCTCTCAGGGAGCACTGCATGGCGCTGCTTTCCCTTTCTGTCCTGGACAATTAATAGCTAAGGATAACAAGACGCTTCTTGAGGGGTTGAAGACTTTAATGGAAAAACTAAGGCTTGCTCTTCACAGATCCTTTTTGCACCTCTGTATTCATAACTTATTAACATGAAAAGCTTGTGCATTTTAAAAAGGATACATACACAAGTAAAGCCGGCAACACCTTGACATTTGCACATTTTACTTTCACTATAATCTTTTTCTTTCAGTGTTTTCATAACCTAATTACTTTTCAAACCTTTACGTGTCTGTAATTACTCATAATTTTGCACCAACACAGTTTGCATGCTCTTTGTAGATACATGGCATCGTACTCATTTGTAGTAATTAGCACAATTAAGCCATTGCCATGGGGCTTTTAGCTGATGTTGTGTAACAACAGTTGATTAGGCTTAAGTTCTTCTATTACCAGCCTAAAAGGCACCCAGTACAATAATTTTATGCTTTTTATCCTTTGGGAGTTTGAGCCACTGGTCACACGCTTGATGAGAAGAGCAAGGCTGCTCTTTTTGTCTTGAATAGATAGTTTTCTTTCTCATGCGTACTCCTCAGAACTAATAATAAGTATTTTGGGGGGAAGTTTATCACAACTGCACAACTTTTGTGTACTGCTAATCTCCACTTCTCATGTCCCTTCAAAAATCACATTATGCTCATACTTTCAGAGATCCTTTTGGAATTTAAAGTACAAGAGTTTTCAGTTTCCCAAAGGGAAACATTTCTTTTGGACCTTCCCAAATTCCAAAAGTTTCTGGGAAATACAGTTATTTATTTTCTTACTGAGAGCTAAATAAGAAGCTACTTGTTTAATTTGGGAAGCAATTAGTGTTTGAAAACTGGAGAGTATACAGCTGCAGTGTTATACTGAATCATTAACAGTAGCTCCATCTCAAGGGGGTTTCTTACACTTTAGAGATATCATTAAACTTAGATATTTATGTTTTCTGCATTTGACCTGATAAATGTGCCTTATTTTGCTGAAGGTAGAACATCGGAGAGGAGAAAGAAGTCTTAAGAATTTTTTTATATATTCTGCTCACCTTTTCTTGCCATGACCTTTGTGTCTTTTAAGGCCAATTTGTGGTTACTGAGCCTGTGCTTGGTTATGGTCTGTCTCTGCTTATTATCTCTGACAGTAAGAGAGGCTTTCTGTCAGTTCAAAATATCCATTTATGGCCAGATAACCTTTTAATCTACTTTGACTTTTGCTTTCTTCCTCTTAGTGTTCCACGTTATTTCATTGCATAGCAGTGTTGTTGTGAGACAGTTCAGCGTGTGTGTCGAGGAGGCAGTTAGTCTCACCAGACTTTTTTTAGTTCACGTCCTGGATTTGGAGGTTTTGTTTTATACCCTCCACTATCTCTGTGAGGAAGAGCACAGAAACAAGGAAAGGCTGTTTCTGTGCTGAAAGATTTGACTTTTAAATCTTACTGTGTTCCCTTTTAGTGTCCCTTATTTGACCCAAGGGTACCAAACTACATTTGTCTGGCTGTGGAAAGCGTTAGTGCCTTACAGTTATATCTACTGTTATTTCTGTTTCTGTTTGTTTTGCTTTGTGCGGTGACTTCTAGTCTTGTCATTGCTTTAAGAGTTCCCGGCAATAAGCAGAAATTCCATTAATTCCATCTGCCAGATTACATCATATAAACCACATCTTATAGTTCAGTCAGGATCAGTATAATGAAAAGAAGACTGGATTGACTGGGATCCCCCTGCTCTTCCATTCACATATGTAAAAAGCCATAGAAAGTAAGCAATATCAAAAACATTATGCATGGAAAAGAGCAGGCATCAATGACAACAGATTTGGGTTGGAAGTGGGTTGCAAAGCAGCTTGCAAACTGCATCAGTTATCTTACGAAGCTAAAGCTAAATAGTGGAGCAGGTTTGTGATAAACAAGTGGATGTGTAGAAGGACATCAGCTGAGCCATAAGCTGCTTGAGCGCTGTGCTCATTTTTTCTCACTTTAGATTTTTCATAAATTTGTGCTAGTAGGCAGGTTTTGTTAAACTAAATTAATTGCCGCTTGGTTAGATGAGTTAGTGGCATTTAACTTTTGGCTTGCTCAAAAGAAACTATGGTGATGTGAAGATCAGAATCAGCCAGGCAGCAACATTTGTCCAGGTGAGGAAAGTCTAGATCTGCCAACACACCAACTCGAACATCTGCACTGGGCAAAGTTAAGATTAATGTGTACCAGTGCCCATGACAGATCCTCTCACTCTAATGGGAAGAAAAGACATACCATCATCAGCTTGTGTTGATGTAGCAGACAGACCAACGGCCCATAGTAGATGAGATCTTGGGAAGGAGATGGAGATGGCTTGGACACACCCTGACAAAGTTGGTAACTAATATTATAAGACAATCCCAAAACTGAAACCTAAAGAAAGTGGAGACGACTGGGAAACACCTGGCAGACAAAGCAAGAGGACTGGGATGGGGATGTGTGGTAAGGGAAACTGAGGACAGGCGGTGACGGCAGTCAGTTATCAATGGGTTGTGCTCCGGGACGGGAAAAAGGTCCTAACTGATTAAACTGAATAAACTATTAAAAAAACATTGAGTTGCAGTGATTCTCTAGACTTAATTTGCCACCTCACGTAACTTTACTGTCAGGAGCTTTTCCACTCGCTAGCTGTGAATTCACTGGACTGACATCAGTGCCAATCAGACATTACACAACTTTGGACTATAGTTCTGTCAGCTTAAAAACGTATCAACTACATGCAACATTAATGCTCATCTGCACCTCTGTGAGGTAGTGACTTATGATGTGAATCGGATATTAGGCAAAATAATCAGCAGGCCAAAAAGAGCAAAATGGCAAAATAATAAGAAAGCAAAGTAAGAACCCAGCGAATTAGTCAGTAAGTCAGTTTCTCATTCTCTGTATTATTTCTGTGAGCCAGCCACAGTGTGTGACTGCCTATTTAGCCTAGAAGCTGCCAGAGTTTGCAGGAGTTCTTCGATTCCTTTCTGAGGGGAGTAATGAGAATTCAGGGACAGATGGTGTGTATGCAGTGGCCGATGATGTTTCTACCAGCCTATTCTAACACCTGGGAGCCAGAGAGAGTCTGAGTGCCACACACTTTGGATCCCAGGGTAACAATCTGCCTAAGCATCACATTATTGCACTGTGCTGGGGAACAACGCGTGGCTCCTCATGCAGTCGAAATTAAAATAGATGATTCAAGTCTCCTAAATGTACACCACATGCATAATATACGAAGACCTGAGAGCGTTCATTTTTAATGAGAACCAGCTGTCCAGACTGTTCAACACTTCCCTCTACCATTTAGTTCCACTCTTTTCTGCGTTAGCGTTACCTCTGCCTGCTTTGCTATCTGTTTTGTTTTGATGTGTGTAAAGTTGTGACTTCTGCTGTTTTATTTTCATCTTAACATAGCTTAGAAACTACAGAAAAAATAAGGTTCTGGTCAGAAATGTAAGACTGAAAAAGAAAAGAAAAAAGAAAACCCACACACAGCCTTTGTTCTTGTCCTTTGTCTGGGTCCAGAGCCGCAGGAGGAGGTGGGAATAATGGCGCTTTGGACTGGTGCAACATCACCAGGCAGAGCAGCTGTACAGCACACT